TCGAATGTTGCTTTCATGAACGTTGATTGTGGACTCAAATAAAATTAAATCCTTGACTTCAATCTTTTCTCTGTTTATCATGATGTTATCTATCGGTCCAGTTGTGAGGATTTCTGTTGTCTTCATGTGGAGATATAATCCATACTGAAGCCTGTGGTTTTGACCCTCATTGGTAAGTGCTTTAAATCCACTTAGCTTTCAGCAGCAAAGTTGTGTCCTCCAATCCTGATGTCATGAAGTCCTTCATACAGTCCATCTTCTGGGATTATTTGCTCAGCATATAGGTTAAATAAACATGATCAAAGGCTACAACCCCGAGGCACACCTTTCCGTATTTTACACCATGCAATAACTCCTTGTTGTGTTCAAACAACGACGTCTTAGTCTATGTCCAAGTTTCATATGAGCGCATTGAAGTGTTCTAGAATTCCCATTTTTCCGCAATGTTATCCACATTGCTTCTCCACAAGGACATACCACTCACATCACCAAGTGCCGTGGCAGCTCCCCTCTGCCCACCAGGATAGATGGTAGAAGAGGTGGTCACACATATCTATAGACCTTTGTAGAAGGAAGAATATGTGACTCCCTCAATATAATTTCAAGTTTTGAAAATGTTTTACAACTTTAGGAAAGCAAAGTTTATTGACATCAATACACTGCATGTGTTTAGACAGGGGAAAAAAAGAAACTGTGGCATGGGCACACATATGGATATCTCTCAGTCAATTGGCCAAGGAGCTGTCTTCAGCTAACGCTCCTGTCATTATCTGGAGCCTTGTTTTTCCCTCATAACTCAGTGCCGCTTGAACTTCCTCCAGGTTCTTGATTATATGCTTCTTGTAATGGTTAAATGTCCACCGATTATTTCTGAGACTGTATATTCCTTCCATCTTATAGCTTACAGGGTGCAACATAATGAAAATGTCTTAGACATCACCAAATACCTTGAGGAACTGACTTCTGGGCTTGGGGGTTCAGGAACCCCATGGTCTTCAGAGACAGCCCAGGCTTACTGGTCAGATAGAGATTGGTGGAACCCCCAAGACTACGGCTTTTAATCACCCTGCAGGTCGAGAACTGAAGTCACTTCTGTGGTTCAATTTTAAGTCAATCAATAGGTCTATAAAGGGGAAAAACGCACTTTTGAGGTACAAACATCTTCGAATAATTAACCATTGAGATCAGAAGAACAGCCTTCACCAAAGGACAAAGTTCAGAATGGGTAGGAAAGAAGGAGGAATAGCAACTGGACACACAAGGAGGAGGAGCTGGGGTGTGTGATGTTACATGATGGGTATTGCAATGAATGAGATGAAACAAAATGTATGACTTGAATGCAAAACTGATCATCTGCTCTATAAACCTTCACCCAGTTCACAATAAAAAGTTCGGAACAAGCAAAACGCATTGCCATCAGGTCCATTTGACTCATGGCAACCACACGTGTATCAAAATAGAACTGTTAGTTTTCATTGGCTGTGATCTTAAGGAAGTAGATCTCCACACATTTCTTCTGAGAGGCCCTTGGGTGGGTTTGAGCCTCTAACCTTTGGGTTAGTAGCTTTTCTCCCCTTGTGGCACTGTCTTATGATGATGGCAAACAAGTATTGAATGCATACTTTTGAACTGCAGAAGAACAAACAATTCTGTCTCGGAGAAGGAGCAGTCAGAGATCTCCTTAGAAGCAAGGAAGGGAAGACTTTGTCACATGAACTTCTGACATGCTCTCAGGAGGAACCAGTCCTGGAAAAGGACATCATGTTTGGTACAATAGAGGGTCGGTGAACAGAGGAAAACACTGAATGGGATGGAGGGGCACAGTGGCTGCAACCATGGACTGAGTAAAGCCGTGATTGTGAGGATGGTATCAGACTGGGCAGCGTTTTGTTCTGTGGTACTACGGTTGCTATGGGTCAGAACTGATGACACCTAACAATAACAATCACCTCCAATTAGAACGATATTGACTCTGAGTCACTGAAATCCTGACTAATCACACAGCTATTTCTTACCAATCCAGACGTCTGGGGATGGGCTGTTCAGGGATATTGGGCAGCTTTATGATAACAGAGCGACCTTGGCGGTTCCCCTTCTTCTCAGGCATTTCTTCCATGTGGTTTCTGGTTCCTGCTTGTCACTATATTACAACAGTCAACCCTTATTCCAGGCAGGAAGACGAGGAAGGGGAAAACATACCCACCGAGTTGACGCCTCTTAACGAATTTTTCCAGATATTTCATCCAGCAATTTTGATACATCCTATGGGTCAGAACTGTGCTACATGATTACTAGCTGCAAAGGAGTCTATCAAAAAAACCTTTTTAACTGGGCACTTTAATGTTCTCCACCCCCCCACCTCCCAAATCATTTTTTTAATCATTTTATTAGGGGCTCATACAACTCTTATCACAATCCATACATACATCAATTGTGTAAAGCGCACTTGTACATTCATTGCCCTCATCATTCTCAAAACATTTCCTCTCCACTTAAGCCCCCAGCATTAGGTCCTCATTTTCCCCCTCCCTCCCTGATCCCCTCTCCCTCATGAGCCCCCTCCCAAATAATTTTTGTTAGTAAAAAAAAAATGACTACTGGGTTACAATTTGGCTGTCTGCCATAAAGTGACTCTTTATTTAGAGATAGGAGCCCTGGTGGTGTGGTGGTTATGCATTGGGCCATGATCCCCAAGGTTGGCAGTTCAAAACCACCAGCCACTCCTCAGGAGAAAGATGAGGCTTTCAACTCCTATAGAGTTACAGTCTCGGAAACTCACAGGGGCAGTTCTGCCTTGTCCTGTAAAGTCGCTATAAGTCAGTATTGACTCGATGGCAGTGAGTATGTAGAGTTAAGAACCATTTAAGGAAAAACCAGATTAGAGGGGAAGGTGTTTGGTTTAGATAAATACGATGGTAGATGCCATTAGGAAACCCAGGTGAAATTGTGACAGAAAGGAGTTGAAAATGAGGAAGCATCTTGCTGCAGTAACACCTTTGTAATATGTTCCAGAATTGTGGATTGAAAAGATCATGACAATGAGGCTAAACACTGAAATACTTCACTTTTGCTAATGTGTTAGTCCAGGTTGACTAGAGAAACAAATCCAGAGACATTCGTATGTGTGTAAGAGAGAGCTTTATATCAAAGAGAAATTGTTTATTGAGAAAACATCCCAGCCTAGTCCAGATCAAGTCCATAAGTCTGATATATTAGCCCATATGTCCTATTCTAGTCGATAAATTCCTCTTTAGACTCATATTGACACTCACAATGATGCTGAATGCAGGAAGATCACAAGCTGGTGGGTGAAAAGTCTTCTGGATCCAGTGGTGGCGGACGCATCTCCTGAGCTCCGGCTGCCATCGGCGTGGCTCCATGTGGACTGTCAACAGGAAAGTGAAGCAGAGAGAGTGTGTGGCCCTCCTCCAGAGAGAAAAAGAGGGTGTTCCCAGAATCCTCATGAGAAGGCCACGCCCACAGGGAAACACCATCAGGCTGCGTCCTGATTGACAGGTTACACTCCACCCCTTTGCTCTATTTATCATGTTGACACAAGGTTATGTAACATCCAGAGCCAACAAAGAGGCTTATCTCAATGAACCCATTGCTGTGGAATCTACCGTCATTCATGGTGACCCTATAGGACAGAGTAAAACTACCCATCAGGTTTCCAAGAATGTTATATTGACATGAGCAGCTGCTACATCTTTCTCCCACTGAGTACTGCTGCTGGGTTAGAAAGTCCAACCTTGCTCTCAAGTGCTTGACCACTGCACCTAAGTCATAGGAAATAGTCCATAGTGAAAGAGTAGCTAGCTACCATTCTGTTCCTACTCCAAAGTCCCTAGGGGGTGGCTACTGTCCTCTATATAAGCTGTTAGTTTTTAAATTCTGCTGAGCATAGAAGAGTATTTTATCTACCTAAGAGTGATTTTCACTTTAAAATTACTTATAGCTAAGACTGTATGTTACCATGAAAATTGCATGGGGTTTTGATCTGGAAAGGTGTGGCTTTGCTATTTATGAACAAACTAACTTTGGGCAACACCTTTCTTAGCACCCCCATTTTTCGTTTTTTTTTTTTTCATTTGTGAGGCACGAATAGTCACCTACTTGCCTTAAAGGGCTGTAATTATGATCAAACAGAACATATTTTCAAAGTGGTATGTATTGTATAAACTATCATAGAAAGAAACTATTCTTGTAAGAGACGTAACACACAAACCCACTGCCATCAAACCAATGCCTACTCACAGCAGCGCTGTAGGACAGGGGAGAACTGCCCGGGGAGTTCCCGAGACTGGTTGTTTACAGGAGGAGCAAGCGCTATCTTTTTCTGAGGAGCCGCTAGTGGTTTTGAACTGTCCACCATATGGTTAGCAGCCTAACGCATGACCACGACTGGGGCACCTTTAAAAGTATATAGAGTAAGGTAACTGCACATTCCAGATGGCACTTGAGTCTCTGTAAGACTTAAAGTAAAATTACTGTTTTTAAATATATATTCTGTCATGTGAATGTATGCTGAATTGGGAGCACTGTAATGACGTGTGTGTGTGTGTGTGTGTGTGTGTGTGTGTGTAGAGCTTGATAAATACACCAGTGTACTCACCAAGCTCCTCCCTGGGTAAACCCCAGAGCATCTTAACTTGTTCGAAGGCTAGATAACTCTATTATATTTCACTAGGGAGCCTGAGTCCTATAAGAGAACAGCGTTTAACAGGAATCCAGTCTGTAGGACCATTTTGAGATCACTGCAATGCAATGTCTGGCCCTACACATCTCTTTTCTAAAATCCCAAAGATAGTCTTCACCTGTTTGTCACTGTCAGTTGCCTGATCCTATAAATAGGCCCAAAGCTCATCCCTTTCCTCCTAGTCCAGAAGAGTCTGATTTCAGGGGACAAAGCAAAATAACAAAATGCATGTCCGGGCATTTCAGAGTGTCAGTCAGCCAGCCACCCCATCTCCTCTCCTGGACCCGAGGACCCAGCAGCCATGCCTCTGTTCAAACTTGCAGGTAGGTGTGCAAGTGTTTGAAAAGCTCAATTGTTTTCAGATGCAACCACTTCTTTAGCTGTCATATCAGCTGTGATAATCCTAATTTAGGGTTCACAGCACAAATTGCGTTAATAATACATTTCTGAGTCCAGACACTCTCAAGAGTGTTTGCTTTTGCTTTAATTTGGAAAGGGGATGCTTTTCTAAGATTGCACTATCACCTTTGATGATCCCAGTTCAAAAAAAATGGAAGTGTTAATCAATTAATATCTAGTCTAAATAAAACCTGTGCTACTCGAATTCTGGGAAGGGTCCTGCCTCATGCCTCGAGCTAGAGTGTGAGTTGAAATCATGAACATGACGAAATAGTTACCCAAGTTTTACTTTTGATGGTTCCCAAGCCAGGTTTGTAGCCACAGTGATTTTTTTTTAAGTAGTAAGCTGAAAGTCTTTTTCAGGATAAAATCACTACATATTTCACATGAAACAAAAAGGGAGAGATCGCACCAAAAAACAGAACTAAAAATATTCATCTAGGACGAGTGTGGAATTTAGGAAAGTAGTAGTAAGCTTCCAGCCACTCATCACCCAAGGATACCCATTCATGATACTTAGTGCTTTTCTTTTGCGCCCATTCTCTCAGTGAAATTAAAGAGTTTTTAAACATAGTTGTGCTAACGTGGCCCATGTAAGCTTACATTCTGCTCTCTCTCGTCTTCATTTCTTGGCTTAACATTAGAACTTAATCATCTTACCACGTCATCCCAACCATCTTATCATGTCATCCCATACATCGCTTTCAATGACTCCATAATATTCTCATTTTCCTAACCAACCCCTTAGGTTGCTTGTAGGTTTTTTAAAGTATAAATGAACGTTGACAATAATCTTTGTCCCTAAAGCTTTTTTCCATATGTAAGTATTCTTTCCATTGGACGGAGTCTTGGAAATGACTCCCCAAACCCAACCCACCCACTACCATCGAGTGGATTCTGACTCCTGACTTGGTTGGTATTAGTAAATTGTGTTCCAAAGGAGTTATTTCGACTTGCTGGAAAAGTTCCCACTTATCTTCATCAGTTTTTTTGTTTGTGATCACCTTTTACAAAGAGGACCCTTTTTTGAAGATGAGAAGCATAACTTTAAAGAGGTGTTAGAAATGAGAAGACAATGAAGAGGTGTACAGTGGGCAACCTCCCAGGGTTTTCTGATGGTGGCAGACTGTAGACAAACAGGAAGAGTCACCCTGTTGTTGTTATGCATCCCACACGCCTCGACATGTTTTCATCCCCGAGCACTTATTTCTGAAAGTTGTTCACTTATCTTATTTTAATTCATACAGCTGAAGAAAAACGTGAGTACTTCATATTATTTTTCCTGCCATCTCCCAAACCGTTAATTAGACAATTGACGCTGTTCCTAACTTTAGAAGCATGGTTATCTTTCAGCAGTGTTAATTAAAGGATACCATTGAAAGTCAACAGGGGTTCAAACTGATCATCGATATCCCACAGTAGAGCAAATGAACTCACGGTATTTCTGGACACCCAAAGAATCCAGTCTCTGAAGAGAAACTGCTGGGCCACTTACTTGATTAATGTAAAATAAAACAATCCTTTCCATTGACACAAATTAGGCAAAAAGCCCTGACAAATCTACCTTAGTTAGCTCCCAATTTCAGTGCAAAAAAATATTTGTTGAGCATTTTTATGACAAGATAAAATAGAAACTCATTTTAGAAAGACAACTGGACTTTTCATTGTATGTTCCCCTTGCTCTTACATCAGACTCTTCTTTAGGCTGACTGGCAGCGAGCTGCCTCTGAGCGCCTTTGTCTTTGAGATGGAAGGTGCTAGATGGAAGACCTGGCACTTTGTTTCCCCCATGAATCAAGCACTGCTGAGAGATAAGCATGCTTCCCACCCATACCCCCTACCTGAAACTATTGATTGAAGAAGCAAGCATGATGTTTCTTTTCTCAAAAGTCTTGCAATTCCTGGGTTAATAATAATATTAACTTTTGGATAGTATGTGTAATTTGAGAGTATTTGTTATTTATTTTTTTTTAACAATTCTCTCAAGTGGGGACTATTATTATCCATCCTCTCCTTTAATGATGATGAAAACTGAGGTTCCTTAGTCATTTCGTGGTTCACATGACTGGCTGACATGGACACCATTCCTGAGCACCTTCCGGGCTCCTTACCTGTCGCCACTCTGCTTCTTATTTCGAGCCTGTCTCTTGTCTATTCTCTGTCCAAGTGTAGACATCCTAGCCTCAAGAAATTCCCACGAGATGCTCCAGTATCTCAAGTGTAACATGCTCCGGAAATAATTCAGCCACTATCCGCCCAAACCTGACGAGGTCTTCTTTTTCTCCATGAATCCAGATGGCCACCCAAGCTTATCTCTTCACCTTTTGAAATCCCAAGCTCGTCTTTCCTTTTCCATTACCACTGCCATGCTCTGCACTAATTTGGAAAGTCAGAGCTCTTGATTGGGGAGTCAAATTTCAGCTGTAGCTGCATGAAGTCAAGCAACTGGTTGATTCAGTGGAAGGTAATAGCAAACGTGATTTTTTCTCATCATATACACTACTTCTTGAGAGTAGTTTTTCCTTTTCAACTACTTAGAGCGCTTTAGGAATCTACAACTTTAGTAGAAACAAGGATGTCTAAGAATATGAAAGAAGTGGAGACGGGCAGTCCTAGGCAAGAACCAGATCTTTAATAAGTAGGATTTAGTTTCTGGGCAAAGATAACCACACTATCTTCTGAAGACCATCTTCACTATTGCCATAGGCCTGGCATAACCAGCAGCCACATCTTCCTCCTCCTCCTCCTCATCATAACTCATTAGCCCATTTCCATTTGCCTTTCAGAGTGCCTGAAGCCTCTTCTAATTTCTGCTTGCCACTCATGCTTGACATGCATATGCTTGCTTGTGATGTTCAGAGAAGAATGGGACTATTTCTGGGGATCCTTTGGCCTTGGGGTGGAGGGAGGAATTTTCAAGCTGTCAAATGCATTTATTAGTGTTCCATTTGTTCCTTAGTGAGTCATGGTGCTTGTCAAAGAACTACTCACAACTTCCAAAGATGCTTTTCAGTTTCAGGAAGTGCTTAAGTTTAATGAGGCAAACAGATGCATGATGTCCAGCCAGCACAGTAAGACACAGTGTGACAGGCCTGTTTTTAAAACTGGATGACCTGATTGTGGTGAAGTTATGAATCAATGACTATCACTTCCAATATATGCCTCAGCCTGTATAAGTCACTTATCATTTCCTTATACCAAAATGCCTGTTTTGTCAATGCTGTTTTCTTTATTTGGGTTGGGAGGTTTTGAGTAGTGGTTAAGATTTTTTTTTGCACACAGGGGACTTTGCAAATAGTTTCATTTATATGATTCTATAAGTGTGGATTTGAGAGATTTGAGAGAGTTGTTTAATTAATTACTGGATCATTTATTTGATTTAAAAGCTTACGGCTCACAAGTTTCCCCCCATTGTACTTGACGTGATCTTGAGTTGCTCAGCAGGATAGCACACGTCCCTGTAACAGCAGGGAGATATGCTACCGTCTGATGTCACTCCATTTAGTTGGGTTTTTTTTTGTTTGTTTGTTTGTTTTCTGCCATAAAGCACTTCCATTTTATCTCATTTGAAATTGCCACAGTCATTTGAGTCAAGTTGGGTAGGTCTTAGAATTCCTACTTTACAGATAAAGAACTAGAGATACAGGAAGGGAAAGCCAAGACTTGAACATATCACAACTACTTACAATGGAAAATGTGACTTTGGGGAGGCATGTAGAGATATCACGGGGTAGAGGGCTTTTTCTCTGCATGCAGTGTGGACTATGGGGAGTGTTTGTTGCTCCAAATAACTAGCTATGTGCCAAAATAATTATTGCTACCTGTTCTTTTCTGGAAGTAGCAGCCAGAGTCATTGCACAGTGTCAGAGGTAATGATTATCCAGGTGGAAACAACTGGGTCTCTAGAGAACATGGGGAGACATAGAGAAAAGCAGAGGCTTGATGTCCATCATTACTAGTATGAAACTGGCTCTCTTATATCCGGGGGGTCTTCAGTGATACACCCATCTGTTAAAGAATGGAAAAATTAAGGCACATAAAAGTAAAAAGGGCCTTTCCAGGAGCCACTCATTCTGGAATGCCACCTGTTCACAAGCAATGGGACCCCGAGACCAAACAGCGAATTTCCCAAGCTCCCTGTCTCCTCCACATGTCAAGTTGTCTGGATCACAAAAGGAGTCCCAGGTTGTATGTGAGAGAAACACAGTATCTGGCCTAGAAAAGAATCAAGACTCTAAAGCCCACAGCTGTTTCCAGAATTACTTCGAGGATCAGAGCGCCTCGGGAGGGAAACTCCACAGCCTGCCCTGGTCTTTCCAAAGCTCCCAGAAAATGACCAGCCTCAAGGCAAGAGTTGGGCGGCATGGTTACGATCAGACAGAACCATGTTAGTGAGCTGCTCCTTCTACAAGAGTCCAGTTCCATTTTAAGGATCAGCTTTGGGGCCCTCCTGAGAAGGTCTGGGAGAACCTGACTTAGGTTTCTGAGAGCAGATTTCTGTGCTACTCACAGCAGAACCTACTAAAGGAAGCAGAAGCCTTGCAGACCCTAGGGTGGAGCAGGGACCCCAAGAACCCAGTGTCATTCTTAGCACTGCACCTTACACGTAACAGAAACTCTCAGGTGATTTTTGGGGGGAAATGGTTTAAATACTAACCTGCAAAAACATCCTTTAGAAATTGATGATGCAACGCGGAGCTTTGCTGAAAAAGTATTTGCTTCTGAAGTCAGAGATGAGGGGGGCCGGCATGAGCTTTCTCCCTTTGATGTGGATGATATCTGCCCCATATCTCACCATGAGATGCAAGCACACATTTTCCACCTGGAAGCCCTGGCCATCTCGACAGAGGGCAAGAGGTAAGTGGGATGTAAGAGGGATGTTCAGAGCTGTGGGCATGAGGGGCTGGGGTGGAGGCCAGCCAGTATGGTGCAGTCCCTCTGAGTGATGCGTCAACTCTGCCAGCGTTATTACTGGTAGTTGTTTGTTTCCTTCACAGTAGGTATGCTGGGAGAGGCATCAAGGACTAAATGAAGAAAACAGTGGACTGCTTAGCTTCACACACCTCTGTTTAGTCAAAGCCTCTCTCGCTTCCTGAGCAAAAGGCTCAGATGAACCTTTACAATTAGCCCAACGTGGGCTGATGCCTGCTGGGAACACATTCAACTTACACATGCCCACCCAATGGAACCCACAATCCTTTATGTTCAAATCCTTTCCTAGCCGAGCTTAGTGTTGTGATTAGTGACAAGCATCATTGCAACCAGCCAGTCTGACTGCCTCCTGGCCTCTGCGACACAGCTCTCCTCCCATTTCTACATCCTACACACCACCATGCATGCTTAGTCCTTCCCCTAGGCAGTTTTTCTTTTTCTTTTTTAACATTTTATTAGGGGCTCATACAACTGTTATCCCAATCCATACACACATCAATTGTGTAAAGCGCATTTGTACAT